GTGTCAGACACGACACTCACACACTCAGAAACACTCACAAAACATCAAAACTCTTACAAACACACTCACACACGCACCAAGCATTTCTCCTCACACAAAGCAGCACATGAAACACCCCATCGTGTGTGCCGTGGTACTTCTGTTCTGTATTTGAAACCTTCTGTGTAGTCGTCTCTCTGTGATTGAGTGGCTCTTTGCAAGATGGCCTGTCTGGCTTTGACTGATCCTCTATGGGCCGCTGTTTGTGTCTCCTCCCCGAGTCCCTCCTCTCCTTCTCTCGATTTCTGTGTGCTGTCTTGCTGTGTCGGGCCTTTTCTCTTGCTGTTGGGTTCTTCTTTGTTGTCTAAAGGAGTTGGTTTTGTTTTCAAATCCCCGTCTCTCGATAAGCCATTCTCTGTCTTCTCTCTGTCCAAAACTAAACCTATTACCTACAACACAATGTGTAAAAAATAAATCTGCGTTAGTGTTGAGTGCACAGCAGAAATTTGTTATTTTTTATTTTTATTTTTTTAAAGCTGAAGTGGTTGCTTTTTTTTTTTTTTTGAGCAAATGCAATTGCAAAAATAATGACTGATCAGATTTCATAAACATGAACCACTGGTTGGACAAACAGATAGTCCTGCCCCCAATCCAATGCCATTGGCTCAACCATATTTTTATTCTCAGTATTGTTTTAATTGCACCACAGAGAAACACTTGTTGCACTTTTTGGATAAATCAATCTACAAATGACTCGTTTATAGTTGTCTATTGATATTTTGGACTGTAATAGGATTTTAACATCAGCAAAAATGACACACTTCAGCTTTAAAGTAACGTATTCTTAAAGATTTGTTAAAAACATTTGGAGAACAGAATATATCACATAAGACATGACTATTAAAATAACATACAAGACATGACTTTGATAAATATTACATAATTTAATAATTGCTTGAAATAATTAAATACTTGCTTTTACAATTAATTATTTTAAAAGAATTATGTCTGGACATTGCAAGAAGAACCTGTATTTAAACCTGAATTTAGTCCTAAAATCCACAGAAAAAATACAGAGAGAACACGGCACTCACTTCCGAGAGGCTTCTGTTGGCGTGCTTTGCTAAAAAGATGAGGTTTTACAGTATAAGCAGAGGTACTCAATGTGCTGCACTGCTATGGCTTTTGAGCCTACACAGGGGTAAACCTTCGAGTATAAGCCCTATAAGGTTCTTCTCCCTCTGATAGGTCTCTCTCTCTCTCTCTCTCTCTCTCTCTCTCTCACTCTCTCTCTCTCTGTTAC